TTTCTGTTTTGCTCACAACAAGCCCAACTATTTTGGTCCAAACACTCTTTCTCTTTTGGAATACATCTGTCTTCCCATCTATACCAGCTCAGAAACTCTCAGAGAGGGGACGATCACAGTCTCTCCTGCCTACTTCCTTTCCCTCAAGAAGGAGGGTTGAGCACATCCATGGGATGAGGTACTTAAATACCTCTCTTCCCTACTCCAGGGCAAATTCTGTTCTAATCAGCTCCTGACGTGGCTCTTGATAATCTCTACCTTGCCTATTTATGCTCCCAGATAATTCCTCCCTTTGGAGTATGGGATGGACCTAGTAAGTTTGCTTGTAAGGAATAACATACAGCAAAAATGATATAATGTCACCTCTGGGATTAAGTTTTGGAGGGATTGAACTTCCCATTTTACTAGTATTCACATTATATTGTCTTCTTAGTGTGTATACTTTAAGTAAGCCCTGGTGTGGTTGGAATGTTTATATGTTGGAAATTTAATCCCCAAATTCATGTGCTAATGGTATTTGGTGGAGGGGCCTCTGGAAACTAATTAGAATAAGATGAGGTCATGAGGGTGTAGGCATTAGTGGCTTTATAAGAAGAGGAAAAGACACTCAAGCCAGCATGCTCATTTTGTCTCACCATGTGATTCCCTTTACCACCTTATGTAACAAGAAGGCCCTCCCTGGATACCCAGCAAACACTGGTCCCACACTCTTAAATGTTTCAGCCTCCAGAACTGTAGGTTAAATAAACCTCATTCTTCATGAATTATCCAGCCCTGGGTATTTTGGTTTAGCAGTGGAAAACAGACTAAGACGCTGCAGAATTTTGTCTCACCAATTACACTCAGCTCTCTGCTCCACTGACAGAAAGGCCTACTTGGCCAGGAACATGGCAAGCTTCTGCTAAGAGCCAATAAAGAACTGGGGCCCTCAATGCAACAGATGACATGGAACTAAAACACAGCAATACCCACATGAGTGACGTTGAAGTGGATTCTCCCCAAGCTTGAACCTTCAGATGAGATCACAGTGCCATTCAACACCTCAAGTGTGGCTTACGAGAAACTGAGAGAGAGCAGCCGGCTAAGATCTCCCCAGATTCTAGACACATTAAAAATGAAAAATAAAATGTGTGTTGCTTTAAGCTGCCAAGTTTTAGGGTGATGCATTAACTGCCATATATAACCAATGAAAGCCACAATTTCTAGGATTTCTCTTTGGAATCTGATTCCACTTTGTTAGGGCTCTATCCAAGTTTTAGGGTGATGCATTAACTGCCATATATAACCAATGAAAGCCACAATTTCTAGGATTCCACTTTGTTAGGGCTCTTTAATAGGATAAGCAGCCAACTCATAAACCTTTCATTTGCTGGGCATTGTCCTTTATGTGTTTAGTACCCTTAGATCTTGTAAAGAGGAGTCACTGGTTGAGAACAGAGCTGAATGTCCTTGCACGTCTTATTTCTTGTAATCTCACCCTGACGTAGGGCCTAACTGGAGCAGGGAGCTGAGAGGCCAGCATTTGTGAGACAAAATTCTGTAATGGATGGAGTGTGACTCACTCTATGGGCAAAGCATTTAGGGTTCAATATTTGTTGTTTTTGAAAATTAGAATTCATTTTGGAGCCTGAATTGGTTCCTAGGAAGTGGTGAGCAGAATTCCACTTGGGTCAAAGCAATGTCTCACTTCGGAACAAGGAAAGATATATCTCAGATACTTGGCTTTCAGACTTTAAGAGCCAGGTATGGGTAAGTGGTACTGAATCAAATCACCTGATTTGATTCCCATTTATCTTGCTTTGCATTGCTTCCTGATTTCATCAGTATCTCAGCTTGCTTGTGAGGTCAGAAAAATAAAACCATGGTGAAAACAAGATCAGAATATTTAAGCAGTGTCATCATCAGTGTGAGGAGCCTAGGTGATTGGGTCTCAGATTGGCCCTGGTTATCCAGCTGACAAGCCTAAAATTTGGTATTGTGTCTTTGTTGAGACTAAAGATTCTGACCACAGGGGAGCCCAGGATATTTCTAGCATTTCCTTCCCAGTCTGTCTCCCTCTTTGATGCTTTCTACGTTCATAAACAATTCCACTGATAGACTGTGTGGTAGACACAAAATTGGTCACCGATTGTGCCATCCCTGTCTGCTCACTTCTGCAATGCCCTCCATACAGAGGTGGAGTCTCCTTCTCCCCTCTTTGAATTTGGCACACAGGAAAGAAGTAAACACAGTATAAGCTAAGACTTGAAAAGTCTGTACACTCAACTCTCTCTCCTCTGGCTGCTCTTGGAGTCACAAAAACCACTGTATGAAGAGGCCCATCCTATTCTGGAACATCAGAGAATAGTTGGGACAAACAGACATCTCACAAGCTTCCCCTAGGCCAGTGGGGGCGAACCCATGGCACGTGTGCCACAGCAGGCTGTTGGTGTCCATTGAAAGCTCTAAAAGGTTCGCCATCACCACCCCAGACCAATCTGTCAAACACGATACATGTGGATGAAGCCACCCCAGAGCTGACTTTCATGCTGCCAGAAGAAACACAGGCAGGTCCACAGAGGCAAGCTGGGGTGGAGAGACCCCAAAAACCATCACTGTGAACCACATCAGTGGTTGATTTTAAAAATACACTGTTTTGAGGTGGTTTGTTATTCAATATTAGGTATGTGTTGTATAGACTCATATCCTGCACATGTTTGCATCGATTCACCTTCTTGGTGGGTTGTGAGTTCCGGAAGTTGAAAGGCTGTGACTTCATAGAAAGTGGAATTCAGGCCCTTGCCTTTGGCAGTGAGTTTGGCTATGAGTAAAGAGAGACTTCCGCGAACCAATGTAATGTCAAGTGAGTTACTACTGCTTCTCAGACTGGTCTGTCTCCCACACACTGCTAGCCTCAAAGCATTTTGGAGTAGCTCAAAATTCCTATCTATACAGCACCCAGCTTTACGGCTTGCTTTATAAGTATACATCCACTTTGTCCCAAGAGAAGCTTCCAGCTAGAACAGAAAAGAACAGCAACCAAGTGCAATGTTACTTCTATAATTCTTTTATAGTCACAGTTATAAAATGACTGTGCTTTCCAAACGGACCACTGTCACTCAAATCATTCGCCCTAGAGGAAGCCAGCTACTGCGTCCAGATGCAGCCTCACAGAGAGGCTTGTGTGGCGCGGGACTGAAGCTGCCAATGATCATGTGAGGAAACTCAGTAGTGAATTCCAGGCCCCCCAACTGAACATGCACAATGTCAGGACAACATCAGGTGATAGCCTGCGACTTCATGAGAGACTAAGCCAGCTAAGTCATATTAGGTTTCTTATGCAGAGACATTGAGAAATAACAAATATTAGTTGTTTTAAATTTGGGGGGCAGATTGTTACACAGCAATGGATAACTAATGTAATTTAGGCTCAGCCAATCAAAGCAATTCACCTGCCACCCTTCTCCACCCAGACATAGTGATAGGTTCAGGAATGTACATGTGACCAGGCTGAGCCAATCACAGTAAACTGCAGGCTTTTATGGGAGCTCCCATTCTTTCTCAGGGGACATGATTCTAGAAGGATGAGGCTAGGACTTCAGCAGCCATCTTGTCCTCATTAGTGGAAAGTCTTTGATTATCTTGTTGGTCTCTCTAACCCTAGGCACTCAGGACTATGCCTGCATCAGAGTAGGTCAATATTTATTAAATAAAAGATTTGTATCTAGCAGGCAGAGAAAGTAGGAAACGCTAGCATAGAATGGTAATCTCTTCATTAGTACCATCTTAAATGAAACATCATCAAACATCTATAGAAGCCTATATATTTTTGTTTTCTAAATATGATGCATAGAATACATGGTTTTTCCTTTAAATTAGCATCCTTCAATTTTAACTAGAAGAGTTTCTAAAATTCTCAAAAAATGGGCTTCCTAGGAAGGATCAGTGGATTCACCGTATCTGCCCAATCGCTGCATGTACTGGGGCTGCTCCAAGAAAGGAGCTGAATCAACTCTGTAGAGAGTCACACCATTCTTAGTGTCTGCATGTACTGGGGCTGCTCCAAGAAAGGAGCTGAATCAACTCTGTAGAGAGTCACACCATTCATTTGACAGGTTTGCTCTTTTCTTCTACCCACCGGCCTTAGCAGCTACAAAGGCATGTGCTACAGGTTGGATTGCTGCATCTTTCGGAAAGAAAACAGAAGCATGACTTCATTCAGAAAGTTTCAGGCTGACACCCAGTGATTCAGTAATATGCCACTCCTCTCCCAGAGAGTGAGACCCTTTCTCCTGCCAGCAACACTTACAAATAATCTCCCTTGTGCTTCCATGTTCTCTTGGGCCTCTCTAGACAAGTATGGCTACTGAGGAAAAGGTACATATATTTTTTCTTTTGCAAGTGGTAAACTAAAATAGGATAAAATAGTGAAAGGTTAGCGTGTGTGTTTTACAAATGGTAACATCCTTAAAGACCATAAAAAAGCCTTCTCTCTGTACTGACACCTGCCTCCTTGCTGACTTTCATCACAGCTGGGATGAAACTTTTGTTATGTATCTTGTGCTCAATAATAAGCGTGAAGCACACTGACCGGGCAGCTGTGCAGAAATACTGATTACAGGCACAGGAAATATCGAGGTCATCAAGTCTGTGAGTCACAAATGGCAGTGAGGGAGGTGTTTGGAAGGTGTAATTCAGCAGGGGCAGCAGGGACAAGTGAGATGAGAACGCACACTTCTCTTACAGGAGAGTGTCGTTTCTCAGTTCTACTGGATTATTTCCAAGTGCACATGTATGGCCAGTGCTTCCAGTCTTCTGGTTTTTCCCCAAGAGAATTTTAAAGTCCAGAGACTTATACAAATTATTCCAATTTTAAAATGTTGACTATGATTTCAATTAAATAACATTCTGTTAGACTGAAATGAAGCGTATCTGTTGACAACATGAGACTATGAATCTTTAAATTGTAATGTTTGCATCACAGATCCTTTAAACATAGCCATGTAAACAAGATAGTTTGCATGTATTGATTCAGTTTAATCATATCAATTCTTAAAACATTTTCCTCCAAGAGACAATAGTTCACAGTAATTGCAAAGCTTACTCACAACTTTTAAAAATACCAGTCATGCTTAGCATTCAAAGAAGATATTAGAGAATAACTGTAAAAACTTTTACCAGGAACATCAGCTTCTGACTTTAAAAATTACAAATACTGAAGCATTTTGGTGTCAGACACAGTAGTTTTGACATTGTTTGTTCATTTGATGAGTTTCTGGAAGTTTGGGAAATTTCATCTCTATAATTGAATAATGCGCTTATTCTAAACTAAACATTTTCAAATGTAGAAAACAAACTAGTAAGCTACACATACAAAGAAAAGCCCTCCAAGACAAGCTCTCCACAAGTGGAATGCCAGCATGTGCACCATGAGCCCTGGAAGACTAGAATTGATACATACACTTGGCCTGAGGTTTTACACCCCAGGTTCAACAATGGAATTTGCATTCACCTACACATTAATGACAAACTCTGGGTTAGTATAAGAGAAGCCAGCAAATTCATTTTGGTCCAAGTTCATGATGAAGAGTTTATCAGTGGGAGTCAGTTCCACAGGCTGTCTGGTGAACTCTTTATCGAAGTTGGAGGTGTCTCGCTTGTCTCTCTGCCAAATGGAAAGCAAACACATTAACACAGCATAAGAAGGAAACATGACCGAGACATGCCAGTTATTGGAAGGCTAGTGACATCTATTTAGCAGGGTCAGAAAGAGCCCTGTGCTGACTATTTTTAGCAGCTGCATTACACATGGGAGCTTCATTTCACATTGTACATTGGTTTCAGGATAGAAAACTTGGTGAACGTTTTCTGTGAAAGAATGTAAGTCTTTGAATTTCTTTAAGGACTGACCGTAAAGTGGTATATGTGTGTGTGTGTGTGTGTGTGTGTGTGTGTGTGTGTGTATGTGTTTTCTTTGACTTTGAGATTAAATAGGTAACTACTTCTTACCATGCATGATGTCATAGAGTTAGCTATTAGATAGAATGTCCCAGAGAAAATCCACTCACAGCGCCCCCTGTGGCTATGAGGCCTCCTTGGGAAAGGGAGAAATGTGGTGCAGCTCCCAGAAGGCCGAATAGCCAAGTGGGGAATCATACACCACTGGTCCATAAGAGGCTGATCACTGCCCACCTCACACTCATTGGTGTAGCCAAGGTTTTGAAGGAACTGCTCAAAAATCTACCCATAGAGTACAATTTGGGTCTTCATCAGCCAGAGGTTGTCTTCAAAGACATGGATAGTATGTATCTAATCAACACACTGTATGAAACAAAACCCAAAGCTTAAAAGAAGATCTGGGAGGGCAGCCCTAAAAAATGAAGTGACTCAGTTCTCCTGGTGACTCTGGCATCTCTTTCTTCTTCTCTTTAAAGTGCATATTGGGGGTATTAGCAATTCCAGTTTACTGGAATAATCTGGGCTAATTGGTCTTCCATACGATCCTCCGATATCTCCAGGTTCCCTGCCCTCCTATCACCTCTTCCCATCTTCATCTCACCTACCTGGAGGGCAGGCAGAGCTGGAGTCCTCATTCCCCCATTCTTGGCGTACGAGCAACCTGGGGCACAGGTAGGTAAAGTGACCTGTTCACCACTGTGAAGTGGGCTGGTGATTTTACCCTGACCACCTCACTATGGAGTCTGTCCTGTTTAGCCCCTCTGGCTGGAGGGACAGCCTTGTAGCTGTCTTATTATAGGACAAATGAGGACAAGGCCTGGGCTTCACCGGTGACAGGTGAGTTGCCTGGCTGGTGAGGGAGAGAAGGTCAGTGAGGACCACTGGCTCGGAGTTTGGCCAGTCTCATGGGCTAAACTAAACCACACTTGCAGGATCTGGCGTGGGTTTAGGGTTAGCCCTCTAAAAGGACCTGCGGAGAAGGATTTCTCATTACTGGGCTCATTCTCCTTTGCAAAACTTTCACAAACGCTCCTGCTTTTTGGCTGCTCCCTTGACACAGGCAAATGTCTCCATGGAGTCCCTAGTTCCTCTTGTGGAATGTGGGTGAGGATGTGCAAATGAGGGGGACAAGACTGGCAGCGGGAGTACAGTGGAAAAGCATGGCCAGAAAGGATCAGGCTAAGGGTGCCGGTGGCGCTGGCCTCCAGGTGATGGGCCTCCTCCGGCCGTGTTCCACCTATCCTGCCCTGCCGTGTCGTCAGGGGTTAGCCTGTGCTGTGGTGTGGTGCTCCCGGTGTCACTTCCTGTGTCCAGAGGAAAACTCCAATGCCTCCCCTAACTCAGGAATCTCCTGTGCACCCCTCTACTGCTGTCCAGAAGACATACGTGAACACCCTGTAATTGTTTTCATCACATCTATTGCTTTGCTTTCAGAAAATGTTTTATTTCATGTTCTTTCTTGGAGGGCAGGGTCCTTGTTTGCTTCTTTACTATATTTCCAATGCCAAGAATAGCAGCTGGTACACAGTGGGCTGTTCATAATTACTCGTTGAATGAATGAATAATGACTGGACTGAGGGTGAGTTTCTCAGCTTTTGCCAATTCATTGTCACTTCTGAGCCAGAGACCTCGCTCTGAAGCAGAATTGTGGAATTTGTTTCCATTGGTCCCGAGTCTCCCAAGTGGGCCCGGCCATTTTGAGTCCCAGTATGAACTGAAATGTCTGAGGGGCCAGGAGGTAGGCCTCTTCCAGCCCCTCCCACAACAGCAAACCTACTTTGCCCTTCCCTGCCTGAGGGCACGCAGCCAAAATTCTCTTCTCACCAACCCAGCTTTGGAAAAGCCCTTCCCACTTGTGGTGATGGCGATGACTCATGCTTTGGGAAGCCACCTGATTCAAATGGGGGTTGTCCGAAAAGGCAACCTGTGGGAAGATCCTCCTCCATGGAAATGTTTCAGGACTTTACCCTGGAATTCAGGGAGAATGGTACGTTCTGTTGGGACAATTCCTTCTGGGTTAACAGCATCTGAAGCCACATGAGAACAGCAATGTGCATCCCAACAGGGCTATTAATCCCACTGGACTCCTATTAGTCCCCCAAGAGGGACACTGTGATCATGGCCCCATTCTTTCTTAGAAGAGGAGCAGGTCAGTGAGAAGTCTAAGATATTAAAAGAGAGATTCTTAGATGCCAGTAGACAATTAGCCATGGCTAACAAGGACTTTGTTTGGATTTTCCTACTTACTTAAAAAAAAATTGTTCCCCAATTCAGATCCTTTTAGAAAATTTCAGCCTGTCTAATGTGCATGCGTGTCTGTCCGGGGGCAATGTGTTGGAAGGGAAGTGGCATCTCCAGCAGGGCCAGAAAGAGTGATGCTTGCAGAAATCTGAGTGATTTTCTCTGGGAGCTGAGACACAGGACTCGGATTCAAACTTCAAAATCAGTTCCCTCTCTCCTTGTAGAGACAGTACAGGTATTCATTTCTGCTCAGAGCCTCGTGACTCTGTGGTCTGTTCAGGCATGATGATTTCTAGAAAGGAGCCCACCCCATCCACCACCCCTACCTTTCTCTTTCCCCACCCCTCACATGAAACGACTGTCACAGAAATCCAGGTCAAGATGCTCCTGCAGTGCGTTGTCCTTCAGCCTCAACCTGTGGCCTACAGAGAGAAAGAGGAGGCCCAAAGACACCTGGAAACTTTCTCTTTTGAGAGAAGTTGCTCCTGCCTAACACAGAGACGTTCTCTCCAGAGCACATCATTCTTTCAGTTTCTTGTGTAAGGAATGGCCTTCCACGGGGTGCCATGCTGGGGGAATGGGGGAGTGCAGGAAGCAGGTGACGGATTGCATCTATATTAGTTTTCACCGTGCTGCTGGCATTCAGCCTGGCACACACTTGGTGCTCAATAAAGGCCCGCTGAATGAGTGGAAGGTGGGATAAGCAGATGGCGGCAAAACTAAGCTCTTTTCTTCCTTGATAAATTTGCAAAATATTCTTCAGAGGTTAGATGTGATGAAAGCTCTGTTTCTTGATTTCCTCTGCACTAAAAATGTTGACAGAAAGGAAACGGTAGGAAGTCTGACTAATGATTCTTTCACAGAAGCTTCTCTGAGCAGCCCTCAGCAAAGTGTGATAGGGTAACAGGGACTGTGGCTTGAGTTTCTATTTCTGCAAGCTATGAAACTTGAAAAGTAATGGTAAGAATTTGGAAAATTTCGAGTGTAATATATATATGTATATAGTATATATGGCATTATATCTATATATCTATATATCTATATATATATCTCCACTATATTGCATCTATCTACCTACTTATCTATCCATCCTATCTTGTGTTCTAAGCTTGTCTCAGACCATTGGTCAGTGACCCAGTATTTCTCCATGATTTTTATCCTGAGCACATGCGCATGAAAGGCTTGGCAATCCAACAGGAAGGGTGAAGGACTCAAATAACTGGCCAGGTGATGGGCATAGCTCAGAGGGTCTAGTCATATTGTTCCAGAGCAGAAAGAGTCCTGCCTGCAGGGGCAGGATAGCTGGGCTTGGATGGCAAATAACCAAGCCCGGGCAAGTTTCCTCCCCTCTCCAGATGCCAGTCTCCCCAGTCATCGAGTGAAGGGGTTCTGTCCAGACTCCCTTCCTCCTCTAGCCTCCTAAGCTTGTCAGGTAAGACTTCACTGTCTTTCACCTCAAGTCCAGATCTCTACCTCAATGGCAACCACGGGGATGGTCCCCAAGCCTGAAGCAAGGTGAAATGAGAGGGCAGAAAAGAACAAACTTCGAGGCATTTTGCCCAAGCAGAAACCAGAGGCATTGCTGTCTAAGGGATGAGAAGTCTCTGAGCATATTTGTCAAGTTTTTAAAGTTCCCTTGATGATCTCTCAGGAGTGCTGAAATTTCTGAAAATCTCTTGAGCTGGGGTAAGAATTCTCTGTAGGGCTAAGACTAGCGGGAAGCGATAGGCAAGGATGAGGGGTCACCTGTCACCCCCATCCATTCGGACAAAGTGACATTTCTCCCACCCGAGGGTTTTCCTTGGGCTTCTGGGAGCTCACAGAGTTGCTTCTAGAAAGCTTACTCCAAGCTGGGAGGTGATTTTGATGAGAAGATGAAGAGCCCGGCCATTCCCAGCTGGCCTCTGGGCTCGACTCTGGTGAGAAGAAGTGTGTCAGAGCCCCAGCCGGGCCACTCCACCTCATTCCAAGCCACCAGGAGCCCCTGCATAGTCCATAGCCCCTTCCTCTCTGGTGGAACATGGGGACTGAATTGATCTCTGGATTTAGTTCCTTTCTCCCAAGTTTCTTCCTTGGGCCCTAATTTGTAGTTTGGGTCCATATTTTTCAAAGAGAGTAGTTTTCCTTGAAATAGCATCTCTTCTTTTCTTTCTCTTTTTATTGCATCTTGATGCTAGAAGAAAAATGGCACATAACAGATATCCAGATACAAATGAACATTTCCAGAAACATCTTGCAAAACATCAAAGTGCAGAATACAACTATCTTTGTTCCAAGAGATGCTGTCTTTCTCAGAGCACTTAATTAGGTTTTCAAAGCCAGCGACAAACCTAGACAAATAATCTCCCAACAGGTCTGAGTCTGCTGGGACCCACAGCTCTCTTCTTGGTTGAATCAAAGCAGGTCACTGTAGTTAATAACATCTGGACATATATTTTAAAGCACATGTAACAAAGTGAGGAACTT